GCGGGGTTTTCGGCTTGAACTGGCAGGGGAGGCAGAAAGGACTCTTCTCTCCATCCTCCCCCACCCGCCGGCGGCGTCCCCTCTCAGGCCCCGCACGGACCCTCCCGACGCTGTCCTGAGACGCATCCCCCATCCCTCGGGACCCCCTCCGAGGTACTCAGCTCCCCACGCGCGTGAGACGCTGCCCGAGACAGCCTTCCCCCGGGAATATTCCTCCCGGGGCTTTCCGGGAGCTGAGCTAGAAAGCCCTTCCCCGGGAACCTCTCCGACGGCACAGCAGAAAGTTTGTCTCCGTCCTTCAGCGTGGGAACATACTATTTCTCCCCAAATAAACAATGATCTGGTGATAATTATAAGAACGTGCCTTACCTGACATTTATAACAACATAATCCAGAGGAACACTGCACTCCTGGCTTAAACCGACATGTTTTAGTACAGCATTTATCCTTCAAGCATGCCTGGGGACACATCGCAAAACCACGTTATTCTACTTTTTTGCTCTCCCAGAGATTGTTACTGGCAGAGGTTCTCCTTTTCCTTCTTCTCCCCAAAAAGCTACACTGGGGCAATATCTAGCAGAAGAGGCAAAGCTGCGATCAGATCGATGCCGTCATAGAAACGATGTAAAACCCGACATCATCCTTCTCGGGCTGGCCTCTGCTTCAGTTGCGCCCTTAGTCTCAAGGGTTCATTATTCTAAACATAAATTGTATACATTTCGCCGTAATTCCTGCAGCACCCACCGCCGCCGCCCCGCAGTCGCACTGCTCGCCGGGCTCCACGACGCCGTTGCCGCAGACGGCCGCTCTCCGGTAGGAGAGTCCGGTCAAGCGGGGTCTGCTGAAAAGGCACGCGCCTCTGTTGTGCCTCAGGAAGGTTTCAAAGTCCCTGATGCTGCAGCTGCTGAAGGCTTTGGCCCCACTGAGACGTCTGAAATAAAGCAATTATCCAGGCTTGGTTGTGTTACCCACCTACCGCTGCTCGCTCCCTCAAAATCTCTCTGCAGTTCAAGAACTCGTTCGGACGCCGGCACAAGGTGCCGTGGTCCCCCGGGCGTCTTTCTGCTCACTCTTCAAACCTGATTTTACAACGCATTATTAACAGAGACCAAGAAGCATTCAGAAATATCTCGCTTTTGGAGGGAAAAGGTCTGTATTTTCAAATTAAGCACTGAATCACTAATTTAATTATTCTTTTTTTTCATTGTTAAAGGAATAAAAGCAGATATTTCTGATTTGTTCTCATTTTTGCAACAGAATGACAGTTGTCGAGGACACCTCTGACTGAGCTAGAAAGCCCTTCCCCGGGAACCTCTCCGATGGCACAGCAGAAAGTTTGTCTCCGTCCTTCAGCGTGGGAACATACTATTTCTCCCCAAATAAACAATGATCTGGTGATAATTATAGGAACGTGCCTTACCTGACATTCACGACAACAGAATCCAGAGGAGACAAAATGCAGAACAAATATTGTTAAGTTTTTTTGGAGATGCCCGTCCGAGCGAAACCAGAAAGCTGGTTGACAGTGCTGCTATAGAAGCTGCTACGGCTCCAAAGTTTAAACATGGCCTTAACTTCTGCTAATTCTGAACAGAGCTTACCTGGCAATTTTCACAGCATAATCCCAAGGAGCACTTCATTCCTGGTTTGAAGTTACACTGAGTATTACAGCATTTGTCTAACGCACAGGCCTGCAAACACACCAGAAATCATTATTTGCTGCAGATTTCCCCATCCGCAGGATGACTGCTTGCCCAGAGCCCCCTCCTCCTAATAAACAGCGTACCGCGGAGGAGCCGAGGGAAGAGCAGCAATGCTACCCCCGAAATGCCTTATACACCCCCTGAGACTGCTTCCAGCTGACACCCGCTCTCAGGACCGGGAGAAAGTACAACCCTCCGCCGGAGCGCGGCACCCACCTCCGCCGCCCCGCAGTCGCACTGCTCGCCGGGCTCCACGACGCCGTTGCCGCAGACGGATGCGTGGTAGGAAGGATGATGCAGAGATTGCCTGATGAAAGGGCAATCCCTGTTCTGCTTCAGGAAGGTTTCAAAGTCCCTGATGCTGCAGCTGCTGAAGGCTTTGGCCCCACTGAGACGTCTGAAATAAAGCAGTTATCCAGGCTTGGTTGTGTTACCCATCTACCGCTGCTCTCTCCCTCAAAATCTCTCTGCAGTTCAAGAACTCGTTCGGACGCCGGCACAAGGTGCCGTGGTCCCCCGGGCGTCTTTCTGCTCACTCGTCAAACCTGATTTTACAACACATTATTAACAGAGACCAAGAAGCATTCAGAAATATCTCGCTTTTGAAACAAAAAGTGTCCATTTCTCAAGTCAAATCACTACTTCATACTTTATCGTTCCTATCATAAGAACAACTCCATTTTTTTCCTCACACTGTCTCAAGTTCCTTTCAGGATCTCACTCTAGACGTGTATTTTAAAGTATAGTCAACATGCAATCATTCTGTAAAACTTGATTCAAATCACGTATAACTAATAACACAGGCAGAAGTGCTGGAAGAGCACGCTCTCCTGTTTAAAGCAAATACAACTATTACTTCTCAAAAATAGTCACTAACACAAACATTGCATTTTTATGGCTGAGATAGTAAAACGGAAGGCCAAAATATCTCAGGATTTCTAGTAATTAAAACATATTTTTACTTTAACTCCTATTTTCTCATTGGCTATTCTTTTCCTAGTACTAACAAAATTAAATCTGAACTGTAATTTTTTTTTTATATATACCATTATATATATATATGTATACACACACATATATATAAATACGCTCCTCAGGCTTCGTAGGGAATGTTTCAGGCTCAGCTCGGCTGCAGCGACCGCTTCCCCCCACCCTCTCAAAGACCGAAAGCGTTTGAGGTACACAGCTACTGCGCGGTCAGCTCACAGGCAACGCTTCTTACAAAACCAACTTTTATCGCATTTACAGTAACCAGAAATTAATTCAGATTTGTGGATGTTCAAACATTAAAACTCAAAAAAGGAATGCACCTTGCCTAGCCTAAGTAAAACGCGCCCCAGGCACCTCTGATGAGAGGGCACCCCGCGATCATCCCCACCACGCGACCGCGGCACCACGCACGCTCGGCCAGGCTGTGGGTGACACGCGGCTGCGTGAGCCGAACGGCGCTGGCACGGCCACGCCACCGACCTGGCGCCTGCCGGGGACCCCGATCTCCCCCAGCGCGTCCTGCCCACCCACCGCCTCTGCCCGGGACGGGACCCGGCCGACTCACAGCGCCTCCGGGCTCATGAGGCAGATGCTCCCGGGGCAGCGGCAGCCTCGGGAGCTGTCGTAGCTAATGCCCAGGCTGCGTCCCAGCAGCTGGGCCAGGAGGACGGAGAAGGACTCCAGCGTCACGGCCCCTTGGTACTAGAGGGAGGAGAGAGCAGGGCTGCCGTGGCTGCGCTTTCCCTGTGGAGACCCCGGCGGACCCCAGCTCCAGCTGCGGATGCTCCCGCCCGTGGGCGAGCTCCGGCTTCACGGACACTTGGGCTGGCGGGGGACAGGCAGGGGACAGGCGGCACCGTACCACGGCCACTGCGCCGGCAGCGTTTCTCTGACACGCCTTTCCCGGAGCTGTTGCGCCCACGAACGCTGCTCGGTCCCTGTACCTGAAACACACGTGTGCTCACCGGCCGCCCGGCCCGGGACGCCCCGTCGCTGCGGGTAAGTGGGGGGTCCCAGGTCTGTACAGTCCCCCTCGGTCCCTCGGGCTGCTCTGCTGTCCCCCGGTGCCCCCTGCCAGGGTCTGGTGGTGGCCAGTGCCTGTGCCCAGTGCCCGGCAGGGACCGGGGCTGCAGCCGTCCCCTGGCAGGGCAGCAGGAGCCTCTCCTCAGCCACGGGCTGCCGTGGCGGACAGCACGGTCACGTTCGCTACATCACCACTGAAAGCCCAGCTAGAAGGTACGTCTTGAAAGAAATGCTTTCAGAATATTAAGGAATTAGGAAACATGTAAGAAATAGGTTTCTTTTAAAAAAAAAACGTTTTTCATGGAAATCTTTATAGTCCAACCGACATTGGTTTAACTGATTTCTACCCTGTAGCCTTTAACGAGTAAGCAAAGCTTTCCCTTACACTAATAGATAAGCTATGTCATATGACCGCAGAGCGAGATATGACTGTTTCCACTGTAAAAATCGCTGAAGAAGGTCATCTGCTTCCCCTGCTGTCGATATCTTATTCTCCTCGGTCCACAGCTCCAGGGAGGACAGCACAACGGTAGTATTAAGAGGATGAAACATCTGAAAGCGTAACAGAGGACACGCCTGCTCGCATGCCTTTCCTTTGGCGCAGAACCACAGCGCTATACGCAATAAATCACGGAGGAGAAGCCAATTGCTATTGCCAGTCCCTGAATGGCATCTGTACGACAAACAGAGCGACCAAACCTACAAATTAAAAAGATAAACCAAGAGGCATGAGGAGCTAACCCCTTCATAGGAAGGGTTTCGTGAATAACTTGTCATTGTACGCATGAATCGTAACAGCACCAGTGACGAACAGGATTACAAGTTGCTTATAAGCACCTGAGTGGAAACAGATTCGTCGCGTGGCGGATCAGGGAGATGCGATCCGCAGCGCAGAGAGGGGAACGATCTCGGAAGCCCCAAAACGCTGGCCTTGGGCTGCCTTAAGGCAAACCTCCTGCCTTGTTGTACACCTGCGTGAGACATTGCCGCCCCGTATGGAAGGACGGTAATTTGTAGCAGATTGCCGTGTCGAGAGAAAAATCTCCTCGGGAAACACTTCACGGGCGATAAATGGCAGGCGGGTGGAAACGGGGGGGCAGTGGCCAGGTCCTGCGGATTCCTGCTCCATTCTGCTGACCAGAGCTTTCCTTGACACCGACTTGTCGCAGCTCAAGCCTCACCCCAAGCAGCTAACCCTAACTCCAGCACGGACCGTCCCGCTAGTGCCGTTACAGCTTTAAAGGAGCCCATTTTCACAGTTGCTAAACCAAATCTTTGGATTAGCCCACCGGGACTAAACCCCTCGCCCACCTCTGATCAAGTCTGGACCAGGTGCTGAGAAGCCGGCAGCTCCTCCAGGCCACGGCCAGGCAGCGTGAGCCACAACCTGACATTTTACACAACCTCCGCCTAAAACCAAAAGCGGCTAGGAAATAGGTGGCCATTACTAACATTAGCCCACCCCATCATCTTACTACAGTACAAACCAGACTTGAAAACTTACGTTGTTGACTAAACTGAAGACCTGGATTATCTTCTGCGTTGCAGCATTGGTGTCTGAACCCATATAGTTGTACTGAAAAAGAACCCGAGAGGACGTGAGAGCAGGCAAGGCATTGACCACGATGAAGCAGAACGATGCTGCAGCGCTGACGCGATTGCCAACATCCAGTCGTGTAAACGTCAGCTACGAATTTTCGTTCTTTCTTTGCTACAAGATGCACAGTACACGTAACTTTTCAAAAGGGAAAATACAGAGATAAGCTGGGAAGTGGCACCGTTTCTATGCTCGTAGAAGGCAAATACAGGAGAAAACGACTGGCAGGGACTCACCAAAGCCTTGTCCAAAATTACGTGCACTTTGAAGTATTTGGGAGATCGTGCTGCAGCTGATAGTGGCTGGAAAAGAAAATGGTCTCCGATGCTATTTATCCCTGCATTCTATAGCCACCTTATTCCTGAGGTTTGCTACGCTACTCAAGCGTCCGTTCAAAAGCAATGCTTCGATGCTGTCTTCAAATTAGCCGTTAGAAGCCATTCCAACGTAGCCATTCGGACTTTTTCAGAAGCCTTTCTACCTTGGCGATGCCTCTCGTTAGGCATTGGAGGGTAACGATCCACATGACACCCCACGGCAAGCACGGCACTCCTAAACCCTCCCCGTCCGTCCAGACGACACCGGACAAAGCTTCCTGTGGGATCGGACCCCTCCTCGCGTGACGGGGACACCGGCACCACCGCGAGGACAGACACCCACTCACTTCAAGGTACGTGAACGTCAAGATCATCTCCTCCACTGTCAGCCCGCCGGGCCCTCTCTCGCGGTGGCTGTTGGCAAAGAGGGAACCTGCCGTCTGCTCATCACTCACTCGGTACACAAAGTGCTCGAAGGCAGGAGAATAATCCAGGGGCTCAATCCCATAGCTGACGTTCTCAAACTGCAGCAAGCCCCTGCCAAGGTGACGGTGCGTCACTTGCCACCGGCCATTTGCCACCAGGCGCTGGCAGCCCCGTCCGGGGGGGAGGC